ACGAATATAATATTCTCAAAAAAGACAAACTTGGTAGGCTGCTGAGTTCTGGAAAACTGTGTAGCTTATTGCAGAAAGCTACCGTACAGTTTGTCTCTCAGCTTTTAGAAATGGTATTGTAAGTGTAGCCAATGTATTCTCCTTAGAAGACAAGGTGTTCCTATTTAAATACACATTATATTGCTCTTATCCAAGATGATCGGACTGCCAGCTAAGCAAGCCTTAACTGTTGAAATATTGGAAAAACCTTACTAAACCATCTGCGTTGGAAACCAGGCAAGCCCATCTGCTGTGAGACTCCTTAACGACTCCCATCTCCACCATCTCTATCTCTGCAATATAACCTCTTTTGGCCTCATTTCCTGTATCGTATTTCTCATATTTCATTCCCCTTGCGTTTTTTCTCCCTGCACAATGAGATTTACAGGGGACGGTCTTAAATCGTCCATGAGAGAGACAAGAAAGAGGTTAGTGCCCAACCTTCAGGTCACAGTTATTTGAGTTGTGATCTGGCTGACTCTGACAAAAGGATACTTTTTCATTTCTATGAGCACAAAAGGGCTTCGAGAGGGTGAGTGCACTGTCAAAAGATCTGCAAAGACATATGTACTGGCGCTATCCAAGATAACCATGAGGTCAGAAAGGGCTTTCCATTAGACAAAGGCTGCAATGGGCAAAGAATGGACTTTGTTGTTGCAATCCTAGAGTACACCTCCCCACACTTATCATTGGCTGTAAGACAACTGCTTTCTGATGGAAGCATCTTCATCTCCAAGGGGATGTGGCTCTACATAAGTCAATCTCAAATTCTTTGACTCACAAGTTTACCTCACTATAAAGTAGGAGTATCTTCTTCAAGTTTCGCTAACTTTAAAGTAATAGTACTCCACAAATGTATTACAAATTCACAATTTACAGTTATAAATAACAGGATAAAAGAAAAACAATAATAGAGGTAGACTCCAGATGCACCGAATGTTCTTACCATCCAAATACGTTCTTTCACAGGCGTGCTGAATGATGATCCCTTGATCATCATTTGGAGGCATATGGCTGGTTTACATTTTTTGGAGAGATTACCCCAAAAAAACTGTAAGTAGAAAAAGAACGTCAGCAGTAGTGAAATCAATATACTGTTAAATAAACGTAGAGAAAGTAGGCTTCTGTTGCTCTGCACGGGGAATTGAGCTGCCTTTACAAACTGTTCGCAATGCTTCACAACAGCATGTTACATTGTTGATCCGTGCTGATACTCATTAAATCTCCCACAGACCTACCACCATCCCATGGGCGTAGATAGTAAAACAAACTGCAGCACATTGCAGCTCTTTAGAAATGGAGAAATTCAAGTTGCATTTAAGAAGGAAGATTAAACAAAATAAAACAATGGATGTTTCAAAATGTGTTACTTAAAGGTCACCTAGTATGCAAAATCCACTTTTTCATGTCTTGTATACATAAACATGTGTCCCCTCTGTGGAAAGAGATTCTGAAAGTTTCAGGAAAAAAGATTCTCTCTCTTTTTGTCCTGATCCATTTATATAAAAACCTGTCTGAAAATGAGCTGATCAGATTTTGGCCACTTTATGATATCATAACGATTTTGTGGCTTGTGTAACCATTAGCCAATAACCAACCAAGGTAACCCCCCCCCCCCCCCCCCCCCCCCCCCATGTTTGTATATATCTGAGACCTATAATATATTGATGTAAAACAGTATAATAGGGGACCTTTAAGTTCAGAATTGGTGGTTCTCTTTCAGTCCTAACACCTGGTAATTTAAAGGGGACCTATCATGCAAAATGCACTTTTGTACGTCTTTTATACATGAATATGTGTCCCCGGTGTTCCAGGGAACTCACCGAGTGTCAGAAAACACAACCCTCTCTATTTTCCTCCATACCCAAATCTCTAAAAAAAGGGCTGCAACGGATCTGATAAAAACTGATCCAGATTTGAACACGCTACGGCTATTGGGCCAACTCCACCAATCAGGAGGAGACAGCCACGGCCATTGCCGTTTGAAAGCGCTGGAGACGCTGTAGTACATATGCCAGGCCTGTAGGTGGTGCTGTTCTCACAGAATCAGACCTTGCAAAAACAGAGCTAAAAAAGTGCAAATTGAGCAAAGTGAGGCATGTCTAAAATGCATGATCTGTTTGGTATTTAAAAAAAAAAAAAGTATAAATATGCCTTATATAGGTATGGTCCTACACTATATTATTCAAATATAGCATGATAGGCCCACTTTAACTATTCAGGAGAAAGCCAAGCTAAAGCTGCATTCATGATATGCGATTTTTGTAAGGGTTGAGCCTGGGGCCTTGCAGTTATGTCCCCTGCTAGCTGGCTATGCTTCACACAGCGGATTGGTTGCTAACAACAACTTAGTGCGTTGCGTGAGGCAGAGGTGTTGCTCTTCCGCCTAGTCGGGAGACACCGCTCTCTCGTTTTACCGCTTGCCATGTGAATGCAGCTTGAGTGATTGTTGAGCTGCCAATGGATTCAGAATGTTGTCATTCTCAATCAATGTTTATTGTTCACAAGGAAAGAATGTGAGGTGCTGTTTCTGTGTCTACAGCTTGCAATCACGCAATAGACAAATGTTTTACTTTTTTTCTTCCAAGCACAACAGCCAAAAATATTATGTGACAGACCCAATTTCACTCCAAATTAGAGTGAATCTATCTTTTTGGACACGTCTCATTCCAATTTACAATGAGAAATTGAAATTTGCAAAAACAAATGTGAGAAATGTGTTTGTATACTGGTAATAGAGTAATTTAAAGCCTGATGAATGTTTTTGCTGGCCACTGGATTCACTTTGCGAATGTTCTCTCCTGGTTAAAAATGCAACAAAGCCCACTTCATACCAAACCACATTACTCCATCTTTAATTAACTGGTTGGTCCTAACTTTGTTTAGCAAATAAAACAACTTTTTCTTTCACTAAATTAGCTAGCGGCTGTGTCATAGGTTGATGAAATTAAGAGGTAACAGGAGGGTATCCTGCTGAAACACAGGCACAGTCCTTAAACAAGTCTGAAGTTCCAACCCAGGAGAGGCTAATTACTCGATTTCATCTGCCTTGATGAAGTTGTTTATTCAGAGTTGAGCTCGTTCATCCTTGTGGAGTTCCAGGCTGCATGTAAACGTCAAGTCACTGAGAGCAGCAGCCGGTTGACTCTTCTTAGCTTCAGTTTTAAACTCCGCTGGTTCCAAGTGTCTGGCCTCAGGCTGTAGCTGGCAATGTTTTATCCCAGAGCTACTCCAAATACTCATCAAAGTAAAACAAAAAACCAAAAAGTAAGGTTAATTTTTGGGTGAAAGCTGAATGAATTTTTATCGCCCATCAATACCTCTTTGAGTGATAAAATATTCAGCTTCCTCAGGCATGAGATGAAATGAAAGGTTGCAGTAATAACAAGATTATAAAACTTTTTATTGATCCCCTCTGAAGATGAATTTATAAAGCAAATTCCACACATATCTCAGGTTCACATTTCATTTTTTTTTTTACGCAAAGTTATGGCACCATTACTTTCTATAATTTCACCAGAAAAAAATATTGATGTGGCTGTGGCCATTGTTTTATTTTATACAAATGATGAGGAAGTACATGTAGACCCACTGTAAAATAGCAATTACACTATATCAACATTCCCCAAGAAAAAAACAATTAGCCGGGCCAGTAAGATGTTGAAGCCAGTGATTTCGGATGCAAGGAAAAATATACATTCCACTGACAGGTTGCCTGACACCATGGTAAAACTCCGGCGGACACAACAGTCGAGGAAGCACAATTGGTTTCCCCTTTGGAAGCAACACACTGGTAAACAACTGATGGACAATATTAAACCCAAGGGGGAGAAGCTGAGTATGACAAACAGATTTATGCATGGGTGAACTCCACTGCGCCAGAGCCATCAATTCTCCATCTTTAAAAGTTTCTTTAGCCTCCGTCTCACCGCGCCTGTCATAACATTTATCCCTGCTAAGTGCTAATACATTTACATTTGTAGTGCTGCTCAGTAATAAAATAGGTGGGATGAGTGGAGGCCTTTTACCATTGCTAAAACAAACATCAATGAACTCATCCACGGAGGAGCCACCCCGCCTTCAAGAGTCCCCCGATAGTCCATCCACCCACTCTCAGCTTGGCCACCGCTCCACAGTGCAGGTCAACAGTGTTGCGGTTTGAGTCTCCTCAGTTTCACTCACAATTCTCGCCATCATTTCAGGGTTCACTCACAAGAGTCTGTCTCGCACAGGAGGATCCACATTTGTCCAGACTGGATTCTCTGTGCATGCTGTTGTCGCTTTAGGTGTGTGGAGGAAACATTTTGTAACCAAAAGTTATCAACTGAAGTCACAGGTTAAGCACACAGGCACAACATGGGAAAAGAGGGATACAGGGAGGCTGGTCTCTACCGTCTCAGATGACTTACATGCTTGTCTTTTGGGGTCTAATTTTCAAATTACATTTTATAAACATTCTGAATCAAGAATTAACTATGCTGCATTTCATTCAACATTAACCTGCAATTGACCTTCATGTTATTTTCTTCACATCTCTTATTTTGTTGATTTAAATCCACTGTCTTCAAAGCTGGGTTTCATCAGTTACATGAGTGCAAAAATTAAAAGCAATTTTAGTCACATACGGGACAAAATAAATAAATAAAGAGAGCTGTGCAGGTTTTGATTACTTAACAAACCACGGATAAAAATAGCAAAGCATTTTCCAAACACAGCCCAGTCAGTACCTCAGTGAATTATCTACACGCTTGTGCTGCACCTCATCTGACGCAACACTAAAATACTGATCTTAGGTGAATGATCTGGAGAGGTATAACCAAGGCTGACCAGCCATGATAAGATCTTCACTCTGCCAACTACTGAATAAGGTAATAACAAGCCTACTTTAAGACAAGTGGTTATTGGGTTGTTTGAAATAGAACAATTCACAGCTTTACAAAGCCCTTTCCTTGGATAGCTGGTAGGGCACATCAATATAGTTGAGGCATTTTGAAAAATGACTTTATACGACTACATACTGTGTATGACCAGTGAGCAGGAAAATACTACCATGATGTTAGGTCATCATTTCCTAATCCATTTTGAATTGCCTGCTGTGGCGCCTGTGTGTGAGAGGAACCCTACCTGCACATATGCTAAGTTTGACCTTTCCACAGTGTATACATTCTTTGCTTACATGTCACATGGAAAGAGCAGAAAAGAAAGCATACACAGGCCTTTACTAAGATGGTAAGGAAACAGTCAGCTGTGCATTCACACCTGGGACTCTGGCTGCTGCTTCCTGCAGTGATCTGTTCCCACAAGGTTTCAGTTCCAGTTAATCACATTAACAGCAGGTATTTTGGAATGGGATACCAGTAGAAGAAGGCACAGAGGGGTGCTTCATAAGTGTCCATGCTAACGGAAATTGTGCATCCATACAGTTTACCAATAACACTGTGAACTGGATATATAGTACATCATGTGTAACAGTAGTCTATATCTGGGATTCCTCCTTCTCTATAGCCGCGGTTGGTGCCATGACCTGCATCAGAAACATGGTTGTCTCCTTTGTACAGGCCAGTGCCATTAGAGGGGTATATGGTATGAATGATGTAATCCTCTCGTAGGGGTTTAGGCTGCATTGGCTGGCCGGCTGCCAGTGGCGTCATCTGGAACCCTGGACTGCGGATCTCCAAAATGGTATTGTCCTTCTTGGTGCCTGACTCAATGTAGTCATCACAGCTCTTCTTTTTTCGCGAGTTTTTGCGAGTGTAGTGGTCACGGGTGCACAAATGCCCAGTCCTATGTCCATACCAGCAGAAGATGCCAAAAATAAGAGCCAAGGACACAATGGCGGTAGCCCCACCAACAATCCCTGCCAAGGGCAGAACTGTCATCTTCTTTGAGTCTTCATTCTCATCCTCCTCCAAAGGGGTGGGGTCAGACGTTTCAGCTTTTGCACACACAAGAGCTTCATCGGAGTCAGCATCTCCAGAAATTGCTCCCTTGCTTTCAGAACTTGCAGCCAGGGGCACCATGCAAATAATGTAACTGGAGCGTGGTTGGAGGGAGGTAAGCAGGTACTCACGACGGTCCCCCCGGACCAGAGTCTCTGTAATTGATCCCATTGCGTTCCCAGTTCCCAGTCGGAGCCAGCTCAGCCTAAAGGACGAGCTGGGTTGGGCCACGCTCCAGGTAACACGGACACTGTTGTGCGAGAGAGGCTTCACATTGAGGGCCAGGCTCTTCCCCACTCCGCTGCTGCTGAGAGTGTAGTCTAAGCCAGAGTCAGGAAGCCCCAGGCCAGGTCGCTTTGATCGAAGGGTGAAGAGAGAGCCCTGTGGAGGGGTGTGAGTGGTAGAGGTATCGACTCCACCTCCGCCCACTCTGTCTCTGGTCCTCACCAACTCACACTCCTCCATCTCGCTGGCCAGGTCTTTCAAAGCCATGTCTCGCACCCTGTCAGGTCCATGGCAGTTGAGGCCTCTGACAGTGATGGTGTTACCGCGGGCATGCAGCCAGTCATACAGCCAACGCAGGTTGCAGCCACAGTGCCAGGGATTGCCTCGCACCAGCAACTGGCCCAGGCTATCTAGGTCTTTGAACAGTCCCCTCGGTAGGGTTGTCAGATTGTTTCCTGACAGGTCCAATCTAAGCAGCCTGTGCATACCATCCAAGGAACCACGTGGCATATGAGTCAGGGCATTTTCCTGTAGAGACAGGCGCTGCAGATGGGCGCTGGGCAGGTTGACCGGTGGGGTCTGGAGGGAGTTACGGACTAGGGACAACTCGGTCAAGTTGGCAAGGCGGGAGAACGTGTCATCGGCAATGCGCTGGTTTGCCAAAAGGTTTCCGTCCAGGACGAGACACCTAAGTGAGGAAAGCCCTCTGAAGGCGTGGGTAGGGATTGTGGAGATTCGGTTGTCATCTAGACGGAGTTCTTCCAGGGAGGCAGGCAGTCCTGAAGGGATACTGGACAGGTGGTTGCGTGAAAGGAAAAGTAGGCGCAACCGTGGGTTGTCAGCGAAGGCCTGGTCCTCGATGCTAACAGTGGAAATTGAATTGTCATCCAGGTGGAGCTTCTCTAGCAAGGGCATCCTAGCCAGTGCACTACGAGGAATAGTGCGTATGTTGTTGTCCTGCAAATGCAGTTCACGGATGGATGGTGGCAGGTGCACAGGGAATTCGTCCAGTTCATTATCATACAAGTAGACCACACGGATGGCAAGCTGGCGCTCCAAGGACGTGGGCAAACCCGGGTTGTTTATCTGGTTGTTCTGAAGGTAGAGGACGGACGCCGAAGGAGGAAGTGATGGGATGGAGCTCAGACCACGGTCATTACAGTAGATAAAGTCCTCATCGCACCTGCATACGGATGGGCATATCATGTCCCTGTCTCCAATGTACCCTTGTATCGTGGCTGAGGCAAACTGAAGCATGCCAGCACGTAGTGTCAAGCAAAGAAACAGCAGGAAGAGCCGAGCCCGAAGCTTAGCCACACCTACAGGTGCCATTATGGTGAACATAAGCACTGTCTCACTTTTCCAGGTGTGTTGTCAATCCTCAAATTCTTGCAGTGAGCTGGATTCCTGTGACCTCCATCCTGTGAGAGAAAGAGAAATTAGAGTCAGCATTGAGGCACAACTGAATAAGTTAATAGGTACAGGTGACTAGGCATGTGAGGGGATTTCAGCTAAACCTTTTCTGATTAGTTTCAGACAGCACTTTTATTCTTGTCTGTCTTAACAATATCGGAGCCTAAGAAAATGCTACAACTCTCTTATCTTAACAGAACACACATCGTGCACTCATAACAAGGTTGTTCTTGCTCTACAATTACTGGTCATATCATTAAAGAGTTGTTCACACATGGCGAGGTCTTTGCAGAATCCTCTCAGCTTCTCAAAACATTTATTCAAAGCAGAAAATAAACAAAAATGAGAGAACTGCGTAGTCCATCATAATGAGGAATTAGCCACAGTAATCCAAGATAACAGACAGTTAGACTAAACTTGAGCATGTCCTGTAACAAAAAGTTTGGAAAAGCAAATCTGTATTGACAAATCAAATCCCACATTTAGAATTAAGCCTTGTGCATAAATATGATGAGAATATTCTCCCCTGCTGAATTATTTAAATAGATCTGGAGAGGCTCTATAACTCCATTAGGAGTTTCCAGCAGATGGCTGCATTAGCCAGACAGAGCTGAAGATACGTTTCATTATAAAGACAGAACAACATGTTTTAGCTCAGAGCCGTCATCTTCAATAGCTGAAGTCACATCAAGGGAGTCAAGATGGCACCCGGCACTATAAAACAACACAAATCATGTCTTCCTAATGTAGTTGCATCAAATGAAGTACCATAAAACAGTAAAGGAAATATTTAATCTGTAGTGAAATGCACATGATGAGACAACTAATTAACTATTTGTAATGACCACAACTCATTTTGGGAGTATTCATGAGCTCGACTCAGAACTTGATTGGCATCACAGTTTGCTGCTGTTATCAATTCAACTAAGACGACATAACAGTAAGAACATTATTGAATACAGAGATTTTAAAACTGGTAAATTGCAACAGAGTGACAACATGAGCCCATTCCAGTCTTCAATAACCAGAGCCATTAGTCAAACCATTAAGGCCCACACAGCAGCAAACATGGTCAGGCTGTGTTATTGATTTCCTCACGAATCCGAGGTGATCTGCCACAGCCAGTCGGCTCTCATGTAAATTACAGGATTCCCAGGAGTGTAGGTCACGATAATTAACCAAATGAATGACAATTCTGCTGGAGGTTGACTTTGCTGAATATATATTTGCAAACATTTATCTGTGCTTAATCGTTATCACAATATTGAACATGATGAGAGAAATTATCGTTGACCTTGCAATCATTTTCAAGAGTAAAGAATCGCTGTTCAAGTACCGAACCCTCTAACAGTTGTTCTACAGTTCTAAAAGAATTATTGTCTTTGTCTGTTTTATTTTATTTAATTTGCCTTTTAAGAAATTGTTTAGTTACAGGGCACACTTTAATACACTAAATAACTACATAAGAATCAACAATTGAGAAAAAGAGAAGAAATAAAAAAGAGGAAAAGATTCATAAAGATATGAACTTGGTTTTTTGTTCTTAGGGTTATTATTTCCATTCCATTCATTTCACTTACTAGATTCTTCCATTGGTCAGGTCAAATTCTGATCTTTTTTTGTCAGCTAAAACTTAAGTACATTTTTTGTACAAATAAGAGGATTGTATTTTATTTTCCAGGGAGAATGGATATCAGAAAGACCATGTTATTCACCATTATAGTATATTTCAAGGTAAATAAAGCCTATTGATGTGCCAGTATGCTAAAGTAGTTGGATATCGCAGTAAATGCAGTCTCATGCTTAGATTTATATTTTGGAAATCGTTGGTTTTAACCATTTCAAGAAAAAAATAATATAAGGTTTATGAAAAACTATATTTTGGTTCAGTTGTATTCTTTGTAGTTGGATAACATATTTGTGATTTATAATTTGGGTTAAATGTTCATGCTTCTTTCCTCTGTTCTTCTGTAGGATATTGTAATACAGTACACTTTTCATTGGATTTGAGGCTTTGGACTGCATAAACAGAGCTTTGGTATTAAATAAGTGCATTTAAGGGTTGTTATTAACAACATCTATTGTCACTGCATTATTTTCGAAGCTCATGCCTTACTATTACAAATTTCTTCTTCGATTTATGGTCGTCTCCACCATTTCCCGACTCAGTGCTCACTGATCATGAAACTCAATCGCCTCTCTACTCCAATCCTTTCCAAGACAGTGAAGTTGGGTCAGTGCACTTTCATTGGAGCTTGAGGAGTACCATAATTAATTAAATATAAAAAGATACTGTTGTTTATAAACTTTTTTTGCAGTTTCACATTTTATGGCGTATATGTCTATGCATCATATTCTGTGGTGCATTTTCACAACCTTGTGTATATGTGTTTGGCTGAGTAGTGCTAAAGAATGGATGACTTTTGATTCCCAGGAGCTTCAGCAGAGTCTCTTGAACAGTGGAGAATTTGGGTCAGCCCTTTAAAAACAACATAGATGTGGTGTGAGATTGAAGTGGTGCAGACCAGAGCCTGAGGGATTAATAGAGCATATTGAGCCGCGATTCTCTGGATTAATCAGGTGCTACGAAGAATGGCAGACGGTCATTTCAGGATGTCTTTGCCCTATGGTTGCTCATTTTTCTTCCTCTATTAGAAAATGAAAAGTATAAAAAGCTTCTCAGTGCTCTTTGTGTTTGTGGATGTTTCTGCTTTGGATGTGCTGTGTGTTTGTCTGTCCATGCATGCTCAAATTGCAAAACATTAACCCATATGGGAACAATCTATAAGGTCGCAGTCTGCATTTCAGTTATCTTTAGAGGGGAGTGAAGCGGGGATGTGGGGCAATGTGTTAGCTAGACAGCCAGCCGCCTCAGGCACAGTACGACAACCCCCCGATCTAATACTGGAACCCAAGACTGGATCAATTTACATAAAAGAAAAAAACAGGGAGGGAGAGAGAGGGACAGAAAGCAGCTTTGAGCAAGACCTTTTAATCCCATCTCACCATTAAGTCACCCACAGAGGACTGGGAAATCTGGAAAAAGCTGATTTTGGATTGACCAAATGGGCTGCTGATGTATCAGGGAATCCATTTGACTGATGGCTGGGAAAAGATAATAGTGGCCCACAGCTTATCTTACATGGCATGCCCATGGATCGCATTTTAGATCTAAAGATTGGACATGTGGAAGGGATGACGCAATACATGATGGTTATGGTGATGACAGAAAAAATAGATCTGAGAGAGAAAAAAAAAAGGCCAGATTAGCATGGCCGATTCATTTTGGTATATCGTAGAGGGTTTTATTTCTGTAATAGTTCTTGAAATAATCTAATTTAGATACCACGTCTTTGCAATAATGTACTATAATTTCAAGCTATTAAAACATGGAGATATAAATGCCCTGAAATAAACAAATAAGGCAAAAATATGCACAGCGCCATGCCCAAAACGTTTTCGCTTCCTTCAAAAATGCAAAAACACGAGCTTCATTATCACTTTTGTGTCAAATAAACAAACTACTATAAACTACGGTCATCATCACAAATGACCTTCAAGTGTTTTGAATACACAATAATCAGTGCCTCGCATAACACATGAAACAAAATGAGTTCCTGCGTTAGTGGCTCACAACACATTTGAATTCTGAATTATTTGATGTGCAAAAACATTACAATCCTTTTGAAATCTCTTTTTATCTTCTATTCTTTGAAAATATGCTTTGTGAGTATGCTATAGAGGCCGATTGAATGACATGTTAAAGGCTAAATATGAAATAAATTCATCCCAACCATACTAAGTCAATTTTTCTTGGTTTCAGCACCAATTTCCTGCCATGTGGGAGAGATTGGATTTGCGCTAAGCAGTTTCTCATCTAAACTGCTGACGCACAGACCCAGGGTATGTGACATATGTGACATACAGTACATAGAGATTTGTGTTTCCGGATGAAATAAGTTTTCCTATTTTTGTCATAAAATCTATATAACGCAAGTGAAGAGCGCTGTATTTTCTCTTGTGTGAAAATAGATTAAGATTTGAATGAAAAACTCCACCAAGAGCTTAAATTCTTCAATAACATGTACAAAAAACAACAGTTTAATTCCATTTATAATAAAATAACACATTACACATTTAAAATTGGCTATGGCTCGCAACCGTTAAACCAAATATTTGGATATTTACGATTATGAGAAGGCAAAGCACTTTGAGAGAGCATATTTTCAATCAATTGCCATACTGTATTAACATGAAAAACAGAACAATACTAATCAATATTGGCCCTAAAACGTGTTCATAGTGCTTATTTTTAATCAATATTGCTTTGAAATGATCCTGCAGCAGAGTGATAGAGATAGTAAAGCAGCAAAGGAGTTCTTCACATAATTCATATAAGCGGATGTACTGTTTTTTTTCAGCTTTCCTTTTGTTTGCTGTTCGGTATGCGGCTCACAGGGCCTTGAAGTGACTTGATATATATAGCGCTTCAGCACTATAACATGTTTTATTTGTACAGCACTGTTATGTGTTCTGTCGTGGTACCAGTCTTATTCCCTGTCCTCTCCTCTGCCGCTGCTGCATCCGGAATTATTTTAGTTTGGGGTTTCTTCCTCCAGACAGCCAGATTACAGGCAGGTTTGGTGAGTAACAAATCACATGTAATGTAAGGGGAAACAATGTTAGCTGTATCCGCTTAGTTACACAAAAAACTAAAAAGAGCATAATGTGTTTGTTGTGAAAGGATTGGATTCTTCTCCCATAGGGCCTTTTTAAGGGAGCCGCATGCATTCATTGTGCAATCCCGTATTATATAACGACAATAAAGCTACAACCTTAAACATTCCTTTCTCATATCAAATGACTTCCCCTTCCGTATGCCAATTAAGGAAAGAAAACAACAGGATTTCTTTGGAGCTATTTAAAATAAAGGTCTTGATATTTAATGGGAGATTTGCTGTTGTGCCACATTGCTGGATGGTTCAGTGTGCCTAGCTGTAAAATAAACCTCAGATGTGTCAGTCTGTGTCAGTGATCATAATGCAGTCTTTGATCAATGCCGCGCTGACTTCTTAAATCATCTCCACTGCTTTTAATGTTGCTGCTTCTTCCAGTAATGTTGGTGCAGCACTAAATAGAGGAAACTGTGTATTCCTAAGAAGAGTCTTCTCCATTTTGAGAAACATACTTGATCATTTGAAATGGGACTTTAAAGGCAAATTGATCTTCTGCCTTTGAGTCAAGGAGTCGGATGTGGGTGTCACACTTAAGCTAGGGCTCGGACTCTTATTTTGAGAGAGGGAGGTTTGTTAGCTTAATTGGTTGAATTGAAATGAAATCCTGACGACTTGTTATATAAATGCAGGGCTCTGGGAGGCACCAGCGGCTGAGTCACATGACAAGGCTGTGCTTCCAGGGTTTCAAATTCACCCACATCAGAAAAAACATCACGAGCAAGAAAAAGATAGCAGTGCTGTCAGGTTATGTCTGCCAGCCATACTGGAGATTAGAACAGCTGTAACCTCACCACTGCTAAAATGGTGTGAGGGATGTATGTGTATCTGAGTGTAAACTGATCACTTCACTGCTGCTAACTCCCCCTGTCATGTAGTGGAAACACCTTCACACATCGACAGCAGCAACTGAGGAAACTTTGAAATATTAACAACTGCATCTTTCCTCTTTGTTTAAATGCAATTAAATCATTCATTCTAAATGTAATCAGATGTGGCTGTATTATTCAAAAATAATGAAAAGGAATTGTGAGGAACTCGCATTGTGCTTTTTATCAGCAGGTCTGTGTTTCTGTGTCTAACTAAAAGTAATGTTCCCATTAAAAGTCAATTGGACATTTAATGGACTGTTTTTCTATTTAAAGAGCCACATCATTATTTTGTTTTCATTTAAGGAAAGGTTTTTTGTTATATTCCAGCAAAGGAAGATTGAACAATTTTCCAATACAGATTTTCACAGTAAAGCTGTGTGTTAAAGAAATAGGACGATACATCAGTTAATATTATATTATTGCAGATTTATCAGTATATTTCGTTTTGTGTTAGATTTCTCTGCAATGTGTAGCAAGGCCATTTCCACTGCCTTGTTTCAATTATAATTTGTATGTACATTTCTCTTTTCTCTACAGAAAACAGTACAAATTCTTCTAACCTGAAACAGTTAGGCAACATGGAGATTTTACATCAAATTCACATCCTACAACCCCATCTACCAAAATAGAAAGTACAAGCAGATCTGTTTCCATCACATGTTGCTGCCATGATCTCAGCCTGCTGCTCCCAATCAACTGTATTACTCACCTCCCTGCCGGCTCATTCATATTCTCATCTACACCCTCCACAACACAATTTACACTTACTGCCAATCCCACATTGTACTCCCCAAAATCAAAACATGTTGGTGCACGTTTTCATGCGTGCAGTGCGGATGTCTGAGGAACCAATCTCATCCTGCATTGATTGAAAAAAGTACTATCTCAAGATTTTTCTTCTCACTCTTTTTTGTATTTGTGACATGTTGGAACAATGAGGATGCTGACTGAGAGCCACTCATCCTTCATCCTCACACCGTCCCTTACAATCATGTTTTTTCACTGTTGCCTTAAAGAGGCCCTTTTATGCTCATTTTCAGGTTTCAAAGTTGTATTTTGTGACTCCATGTCTCCTTGCTTTAATGTTCAAAAAGGTTTTTATTTCTCTCATACTGCCTGTGCTGCATCACCTCTTTTCACCCTCTGTCTGAAACCAGAGCCCAGTCTGCTCTGATTAGTTAGCTGGCCGGCTCTGTTGTGATTGGTCAATCGCTTAGAGATGTCTCGCCCCTTAGCACATCACATACGCTGGCTATAAGTGCGAGTGTTACATAGTGTTGTAGAAACTCAGGGATTTTACATGCACAGAAACCAATATAACACCAGGGAAACCCATGAAGCATAATATGGCCCCTTTAATGTTTCCATCTTCCATGTTTCTCTGCATATTCTATTCCAGAGCATTGAATCTGTTGCAGCTTCTCTATCTCTTTCCCTTTCCCTCTACCTAACTCCTGTTGATGCAACATTTGCTTAATCCCATTTCATACAGTCTTTATATCGCCACAACAGAAATCTAAAAAGGCAAACTAATGCTTGCCTTTCACTGATTAAATAACAAATGTTGGCAAATCCCATCTTGTCAAAACCCCACTTCTCTTATCAAATCTTCGTTTCTGTAGCAATTCAACTTTGCAAAATGAATTACAGAACCAATAAATTAAGGAATTGAAGAAAATGTGCACAGGCGTTTCTCTGAGCTGGAGATGTGTATTAAAAGCACTCGCACTCCTTTTGTTTGTGTTTGAAGCTGTTTAAGTTTGTCTCTTACCATATGAAAAATAACAGTGGATTGATAGATACAGGCCGCCTCCAGGGCTCAGAAAAGATCTCCCACATGGGCTCCTCGATGTGTGTGTGTGTGTGTGTGTGTGTGTGTGTGTGTGTGTGTGTGTGTGTGTGTGTGTGTGTGTGTGTGTGTGTGTGTGTGTGTGTGTGTGTGTGTGTGTGTGTGTGTGTGTGTGTGTGTGTGTGTGTGTGTGTGTGTGTGTGTGTGTGTGTGTGTGTGGGTTTCTACTGCATGAAACATCAGCTGTGGGAGTGTTCAGATCTTAAGACACCTCACACATTCATTGAAAACTCTTTACACTCTTATGACTTCACACAGTATCACTTTTACCCCAGAAAGCTGGTCGGACTGGGCTCCAAAAAAATAAAAAATAAATATTATTGTTGATAAATCTTTTTTAAAGATTAAAATATTATTGCTTCAGAATTATTGGTTATTTTTACATGGTTTGTATACGAAAATCAGAACTGGGATGTCACAAAGTACATTAACTCAAGTATGCTACTTAAGTACAATTGTAAGGTACTTGTATTGTAACGTATACTGTACTTTTTACTGTATTACATTTATCTGACAGCTTAAGTTACTAAAATATAAAGATTAACACGTAATATAACCTGCCTATACCTGTGGTGATCTTTTTGTATGTAATATGTCATTTGTTTTATTTTATTATTAGCATTTTCAGTAATAAGCATTTATGTTGCATATTTTTACTGATCGTATTTACTTGTTATTTTACATCTGTCCAGTGTTAACAGGTCTAACTGAATAATGTGCAATCTCCCTGTTAATTAACTAATAAATAAACATAACATTACATAATACTGAGTACTTACACTTTTAAGTGAACTTTCATGTCAATGCCTTTGTACTTTTACTTAAGGTAGATCACAAGCGCAGGATTTTTACTTGTAACAGAGTAGTTTTACTATTTAGAAGTGCTTCTTTAATTTAAAATAAGAGTACTTCTTCCACCAATGTCAAAAACAAATAAATCCTGTCCTTGTAAACCAATATGTGTTGGCTTTGGAACTAAAAAACAAATTGAGGTATCATGGAGTTAGTATATTTCGTTTCGTTACTGATTGCTTTTTTTGGCCCCCTGCCCAAAACGAGAAAATGAGGGGGATAATCGAGCTTTATTGGCCACTGTTTAACCGTTGATAAGTGATAGTTTGTTTAACGGCTTCATTTATCTCTTGTTTAATTACTGGCACCATTAAGAAGGTGCAACAGCCAAGGTGCTCCTCTGGCTTTGTTTCTATTGGCTTTAGATTTAAGGTCTCGTAACTTTTGGAGTTGAACCAGAGGAACTTCCTTTATTTCAGAGAAGAAAGGAAACTGCCGGTACAGAGACAGTTGTCTTATTTCAGAGCGGAAATTATATTGCATTTTGGGGGTTTCATAGAAGTCTGTTGTAGGCTAATGCTTTAGAAATCTTGATCCTAAAACAAAGGTTCATTGAGTTAGCTTAACAATAGATGGTGTTTAAATAGCGGGAGCGCATTCATTCCAGACACAGCACTAAGCTTTCATTACTCTGAAACATAATAATTTCTGATTTAAAAAAACCCAGATTCTAAAGAGACTTCACTTATCGACTGAATGACATTCCTTTTGCAGTGAAAATATATTTTCTAACAATAATTGTTCAATCGTTTTCCCAGTTGCGAGTTTCTTTTGCAATATTTTTGTAAAAAAATTATATTAAAGGCATTATAAGGCATGAAAATATAAAATATAGGACAGAAAAATCGGTAAATAACTGTTTATAAGATGTTACATTTTGGTCCAAATGTACCTTTTGTTAAATAAGAGTAAAATAGTAAGGCATACTTAGTTATGAGAATATAAAATATAGGAAAGAAACATCGGTATAACTGAGTTCTGGTCCAAAGAAATGTCATTACCAGCAACCATGTTGTTTGGAATAGGAGAACATTTTTTTTGCAGTAGAAAATTCATTGTAGGTTCTGGAAAAATCTTCTTATTTGTTGAGGATTGACTTTCTAGGATTTCCAGCTGACTCCAGGTATTTATTTTTAAAAGAAACAGATGCCTAGCACTCTTAAATGTTCTGTTACTTCATGTTGGGCTATAGGGTTTAAATAGCACAAGGAGACAATACATACAACACAGGTGAGCATTTCAATTTCAAAATACTGCTATGGATTGATCACAGAAAAAGGTATAAACTCTTGATATTTCACAGGAGGGGTACCTGAATACATGCTTACTTTTTGTGAGGCTTCCAGGGGAGGAGGTGCTGTGACACCATTTGCACAAACTTCCCAACACGGCTCCTTCAAAGTCAGCGGGCTGTATTTTCTCCGGATTTTGTTGACATGCAGTCCATAAACTCTGGTGCGTAGGGGTGCGTTTTCAGACACAGCTCCTTCTTCTGTGTTTTTATGTTCAGCCTTGGTGCCGATCAGTTGTCTCCGCTGGCTTCAGATTGGTTCTCTGTGCAGAAAGAGAGTGACAGAAAAATCATAAGGGGACGCAGCTGACCGTCAGTGCCACTCACATGTCAACTGGTTCTGATGAATATTTAATGGCATTACACTTTCTTTTTTTTTTTGCGTGACTGCCATGCGTGTCCTTACTGTATGTCACTGTATGTAGTGTTGCACTTTTTTATCTTTATTACTTTTCTTAATCTACTCTTGGTTAGAGGATTAAATGATGTGATTTTTATTTGCCAAACTTTCATTACATTTATTTAAGAAAGAAAAAAAACAGATGTGTATTTGCGATCACAGAGAGTACATTTATTAGAAAGAAACCCAAAAAACGGTTTGAAAAAGTGGTTTCAACGCCAAATATAAAGCTACAGATCTGCCAATACATTTTTTTTTCTTAGAATTTAATGGCATCCTCGTTTATGCTAAATCAATACCTTCATTAGCATGAAAGTCGTAAGGTTATAAAGTAAATTATTAAGATTTCCCAGTTTTTGCTTCTAGCCTTTTGGAAACGGGGGGTTACGTATTGTAACCCTAGTATTGTAACCCTAGTTATATAAGCACAGGCGGAGCCCTCTACTGGACTCTATGGGTACTACTCTCTATCATGCTATGCGGGCATTCACCTACTGAGTTGCATAAACGTAGCCGGCCAATCGGGGTGAGCCTACCTGAATGCGCGCGCAGGCCCACAGTATATACGGCGGCTACGCCTCCCGACTGTCATCCTACACCCTCTTCAGCGAGCGGCATAGGAAAGACAGGGCTCCCAGGTAGAGGGCTCCGCCTGTGCTTATATAACTAGGGTTACAATACGTAACCCCCCGTTATATATCACACAGGCTCCGCCCTCTACTGGACTCTATGGGTACAGTGGGTGGAGCCCCGATGTATAAACGCCCTGTCGTCCAACAACATCGACCCATCACACTGCCCCTGACCGGCCTTTGGTTAACAGCCACCGCACCCCCACTTCCTCCAATCCGATTGTGACCGTGGAGAAGTCGGGGCCGCAGCTTGGATAAGGCACACTCACACACCAGGGTTTCCGTTAGCCGGTAATTACCGGTTTTTAGCTGGTAACATTTAATAGAAACCGGTAAATTCAAAACCTGCCGGTCAAAATGTCCGGTAATAATTAGGGATGCTCCGATCGATTGGCCGCCGATCATTATCGGCCGATATTTACTCTTAATAGTTTGATCGGTGCTCTCTATAAAGGCCGATCAGGAGAGCTGGATCTGATCGATATGGACATAAACGCGAGTGAAGTATAACCGGACGTGAGAGAGATCAGATCAGCTCTGCATAATCACCTGAAGCCCCTCCCACTGTTTAGCGCGCTGCATGAGAAACTGACGGGCTGTCAGGAGAGAGAGGGAGAGGGGAAAAGAGAGGATCCGTTTCTCACGTGTTATTATTCAAAGTTAATGTAAACTTTTGAATAATGTACTTCATCTACTACAAGTAGTTTGTTTGAATGTAATAATTATGTTGTTTGTGGAATCATTTATTGAAAAATGAATCTGAATTTTTCGATCTGTTACGATTATAAACTGAAGCAATATAAAAATGACTCCCATTAACTGAGTTTTAAACATCAGCATATCCGGTCATTACCTGCTAACGGAAACTCTGCTACACAATTCTTATTATTATTATTGAAACATGACCGGTAAGTTTCAAATTTGTCGGGTAAAATAAATTCTGCGAGAGAAAATCCTAGCGGAAACCCTGTCACACACGCTTACCTTGTGTAGAGTGTGCATGGAAAAAATAGTGCGGAAGACTCTGTATGGAGCTTAATGCACATCATGTTCCCCAGGTCCCTAAGGAGCATGGGAAAAACATAAGTGCACTCTATCCCAGGGGGGGGTCAGCCACCTACTGACCCACAGCGCCCCACCCCCTCTCACCAGTAATGTCTTGCCCCGGCAAGCACAGACGACGAGAAGGAGCCAGACATGTCCAAGAGATAAAACTTTATGAAGGGGCCTGGCGTAGACCAAGACGCCGCTGTGCATATATCTTCTACACTCACGCCGTTGAATAAGGCTGTTGACACAGCCATAGCCCGCGTAGAGTGTGCACGGACCCCAGTGGGGAGGGCATGTGGGCACATAGGCATGTGTAATGCACTCGCAGAGCCATCCTGTCAGGCACCTCTTGGAGGGAGCTTTTCCAGCCACACCATCCCCAAAGCACACAAACAGCTGTTCAGTGCGCCTAATGGCAGCCGTGCGCTCTACATAACATGCAGCTCACGCACCGGGCAAAGGAGGGGTTTGATCGCCCCGCTACGGTCACCCCGGATCAAAAAGCAACTCGGGTGCACCGACAGAGCGGTCAGCTCGGACACTCTCTTGGCCGAAGTCAAGGCAAGTAGCAACGCTGTCTTCCATGACAGTGCTTTCAGGGAGGAGAGCTCCAGAGGCTCAAATGGTTCTGACCAGAGCCTCGAGCACCAACGGCCACCATTGCGGGGAGGAGGCGTGCACTACTGGGCGCTGCCTCCTGACCCCCTGCAAAAACCGCAACATAAGCGGTTGACTGAAGGCTGACCTGCCGCCAAATCCCTCATGGCAGGACGAAATGGCTGCTGCATACACCTTAATTGTGGAATGAGCCAGCCCCCTGTCCACCAGTATCTGTAAATAGGACAGAATAGAGCCCAACGTACACAATAGAGGCTCTAGACTCCTTTCTTCACACCATCGCTGGAATCCCGCCCACTTCGTCCTATAACAGGCTGTGGTGGATCCTGCTCTTGCTGCCTGGATAGTCTGAATAACGTTATCAGACAGCCCCACCTGTCTCAGCCTGTCCCTCTCAGGAGCCAAGCCTGGAGAGGTTGGCCCAGAGTGGGTAACGCCCCTATTGCACCTGCTTCCTGAGACAGCGCCCCCCAGACCTGAGGAATCGTCCAGGGCTGGCCCACCCTCATCTGTGTCACCTCCGCATACCACGCCGCCAAGCGGCGACCTGGGGCCACTAGGATGACTGACAATCGTTCTCGTCTCACCCTCTCCAGGAGGGGGGGAATGAGATGCAGCGGTGGGAAGGCGTAAAGCAGCTTTCTTGGCCATGGCTCATGTGCAAATGCGTCCACCCCCAAGGGCGGATTGTCCCGCCTGCCAGGGAAAACCACAGGGCACAGTGGCTGGTGCGCCGGTTGGCGAACAGGTCCACCTCTGCTCTCCCGAGTCCAGACCTGCTTCACCATCTCCGGGTGAAGCCTCCACTCGTCTGGCAGGCCTCTTGACATGAGGTCGGCCCCCCCGTTCTCCCGCCCCGGGATGTGCAGGGCCCTTAGAGACAACATATTCTGTGAAGCCCACAACCACAGGTTCTCTGCTGCGGTCAACAAGGCTACGGAGCGGACTCCGCCCTGCCTGTTGATGTACGCCACTGTGGTGCGGTTGTCGCTCCTCACTAGCACATGTTTGCCCTGTATTAAGGGTTTGAAGTGCTGTAGGACCAACATTACTGCCTGCAGCTCTAGGATGGTTGTGAACCAATCGCCCGGCTGCACTAGCCCCAGTAACTGTTTTATAGTTAACATATGGAACTTTTTGCAGGCAGTGGGCCGATTCAGGCTGCGAAGATCCAGAATGGGCCTGAATTCTCCTGTCTTCTTGAGCCCTCGTTTTCAGAGGGTGCCGCCACGTCGCCTCCACACACTGCCAGATATCCGGCAACGGGGGCGAAACAAAGGCCGGCTGGGTTGACTGAACCGGGCCATAAAACCCCTGACGGAGGCGGCTCACCGGTTTGGGTGGTAGCGGTAGACCCACACGCTCCACCACCATGGCCATCACCAGCGGGAAATCCTGACGGGTAGATCTGCGCGGTGGACCCTCGTGGACGCCGGACCCAGAAGCGCCCGACAACGAGAAGTCCTCATCTTCCTCCTCCTCGACAAACGGGGCCGCCCGGCCCGCCGGAATGGCGAACACAAATGGCACCTCCTCTGCCACCTCCTGGTCCTCCATTTCCACCACCTCGAGCTCCTCCTGGTCCTGCGCCTCGTCCGGCAAGACATAATGCGCCTGGAAATGTTCCAGGCGATGCTGGCGTCTGAGCCGCGGGAGCGCACGACAGGCACTGCAGGACGGAGAATATTTGATGCCCTCCACAGCGTGGTCGGGCCCCAAACACTTGAAGCACAAGCGGTGGGGATCAGCACCCGCAATTAAGCCAGGGCATGTAGGGCAAGGCCGAGGTTCAAGGAGTGGTGAGTCCATATTATTTTCCTATTTCTTTATCTTCTTTTACGTTTAGCTTCAGTTGTTGCCGCTCGCTGAAGAGAAAAAGGATGACAGTACGTTTATGCAACTCTGTAGGTGAATGCCTGCATAGCATGATAGAGAGTAGTACCCATAGAGTCCAGTAGAGGGCGGAGCCTGTGTGATATATAACCCCACCATCACCCCCCCACTCTCCCCAGTCCTTATCTCTCTGCCTCTCCTCCACATCGATGCCGATCGTGTTTCTTTCTCACAGCTAACATCAACTGCTTTGTGACATGAGACAGCACGCCATCTTCCTTTGAGTCAGTTCAATTTACTCCTCTTGTCATGAAACCTAAACTCATCTGATCAGACATCTCAAACTACAGAGCCGAATTGCTCCTTTAACATTTATTCCTCAACATGCTGTCTCCAATGAGCCGTTTAAAATGTTTTCCAAGGTACCTGCACAACGTATCCATGTACAGTATATCAGATTTTTAAAGTCTGACAATGTGGGACCTCTTGCCTCAGAAAATAAATCAAGACAACTGCTAGTAAAAGTATGTTAAATGAGCTATTAGCCATTTCTATTTGTACCCAGACAGCTGTCACTGGATTACTTTTATACTGAAGA